TGATTTCTCTTTCTGAAAGTTCATTATTAGTGCTTAGAAATGCTATTGATTTTGTACCCTGAAACTTTACTGTATTCTTTGATTATTTCTGATAGTTTTTTGGCGGATTCTTTAGGATTTTTTGAATATAGAATCATGTCATCTACAAATAGTGAGAGTTTTACTTCTTCCTTTCCAATCGGATACCTTTTATTTCTTTTTCTTGCCTAATTGTTTTGGCTAAAACTTCCAGTACTCTGTTGAATAAGATTGGTGAGAGCGGGCATCCTTTTCTTGTTCTTGTTCTTGTTCTTAGAGGAATAACTTTCAGTTTCTCATCATTGGGTATAATGTTGGCTGTGGTTTTGTCATATATGGCCTTTATTATGTTGAGATACTTTCCTTCTATACCCATTTTATTGAGAATTTTTATCATAAATGTATGTAGGATCTTGTCAGTTGCTTTCTCTTCATCTATTGTGATGATCATGTGATTTTTATTGTTGATATTGTTAATGTGTTGTATCACATTAATTGATTTGTGCATTTTGAGCCATCCTTGGAATAAATCCCAGATGATCATGGTGTATCATCCTTTTAATGTCTTTTTGCATTCAATTTGCCTCATCTCCATTTGCCAATGCAGGTTCTGTCCCTTACTTCTTCCCCTTCTATGTTTTTGTTTTCATAAATTATGTTTTTTGTCTTGTTAGTTTGTGATCATATTGAAGTGGGTATAGTTGTTTTTGATGCTTTGTTTCTTTTTGTCCTTTATGGTATAATTAAGGGTTTGCCAACCTCTTCTGACTTAGAGCTGCAGCTTTCTGATTCTATTTTTTTTTTTTTTTAAAGATTTTATTTTTTTCGTTTTTCTCCCCAACGCCCCCCGGTACATAGTTGTGTGTTCTTCGTTGTGGGTTCTTCTAGTTGTGGCATGTGGGACGCTGCCTCAGTGTGGTCTGATGAGCAGTGCCATGTGCGCGCCCAGGATTCAAACCAACGAAACACTGGGCCGCCTGCAGCGGAGCGCGCGAACTTAACCACTCGGCCATGGGGCCAGCCCCTCTGTCTGTCTATTTAACCTTGCTCAAAGCTTTGTAAACCTTTGCCTTTTTGTTTGATGTAGGAGGGCTCCTTTCAATATTGCTTGCAAGGCAGATCTAGTGGTGATGAACTCCCTTAGCTTTTGTTTGTCTGGCAAAGCTTTTATTCTCCATCATATCTGAAGGATAATTTTGCTGGTTATAGTATTCTTGGCTTATAGTGTTTGTCTTTCAGTATTTTGAATGTATCATTCTACTCTCTCCTAGACTATAATGTTTATGCTGAGAAATCTGCTGAAAGCCTGATGTGGGTTCCTTTGTAGGTTATTTTCTTCTGTCTTGCTCTCCTTAATATTTGTTTTGGTCATTTAATTTTAACAGTTTTACTATTATATGCCTTGGAGAAGGTCTTTTTGCATTGAGGTAATTAGGAATTCTGTTAGCTTCCTGGACTTGCATGTCCAGTTCTTTCCCCAGGTTGGGGAAGTTCTCAGCTGTTGTTTCTTTGAATAAGCTCTCTGCTCCTTTCTGCCTCTCTTCTTCTGGGATACCTGTAATCCTTATGTTACTTTTCCTAATTGAGTCAGATATTTCTCAAAGAACTTCTTCATTTTTTAAAAATCTTATTTCTGTCTCCTCCTCCACCTGGGTCATATCTAGGTTTCTATCTTCAGTCTCACTAATTTTCTCTTCCATATGATCTGCTCTATTTTTAATGCTTTCTACATTATTTTTTCTCATTAATTGTGTTCTTCTTCTCCAGAATTTCTCTGTTTTTTTTTTTTTTCAGAGTTTCAATCTCTTTGGTGAAGTACTCCTTCTGTTCATTAATCGTATTCCTGAGCTCATCGAACTGTCTTTCTGAATCTTCTTCCAACTCGTTGAGTTTCTTTATGACAGCTATTTTGAATTCTCTGTCAGTTAGATTGTAATGTTCTGTGACTTCAAGTTTGGTTTCTGGAGAATTGTTATTCTCTTTCTCTTCTGCCGTGTTACTGTAGTTGTTCCTGGTGTTTGATGAATTGATCCTCTGCCAGTGCATTCGTGGTAGTACCCACCTTTCTTATCTGGGTAAGGCTTTGATGACTTTGGTTCTGAGCTGCTTCGGATGGTATTTAACAGCCTGCACTTCCCACCCTCTGCTGCCTCTGCCAGAGGTGTCGTCAGTGCCCTCTTTGTGCTCCTTGTGCCTCTCAGGTTGCTTGTGTCTTGCTGCTTTCGATGTCCCTGCAGTCTGAGGTGTTGCCAATGAGGCTACCAGGCTCCAAGCACTTCTGCTGCTTCTGGGGTTGCCTGGATCTCGTGTTCCTCCCCTGGCTCTTCATTGGCTCTCCATGGGCTCAGATGCTGCTGACCTGCACATCGTCTATGCCACTGCTCCTGGGTTGTCTGGGGATGCTGGTTGCACTGCTGCCAGAGGTGCTGGGTTCATGAGTGTTGCTGTTGCTGCTGGGGGCCTGGGGACCCAGGGACTTGTATGCAGCCCTTGCTGCTAGTGGAGCTGGTTTTCGGGGTGCCATCCATGGGGGCAGGGTCACCGGTTCTGCTGTGGTTCCTGAAATCTCTGGTCGCAGGTTTCTCCTGCCACCACTAGCGGGGAGCAGCAGCTAAGCAGGGAGAGGTTTCTGTTGTTGCTTGCTGTGCAGCCTCTGGTCTCTGGTGCTAGCCAGTGTGTTTTCAAAACTCAGGTCAGGGCACCCTGTCCAAGCTGGGAAAATCTGAGTTTTGTATAGTATCCCCATTGTTGGAAAGACCTGGCCACTCCAGGGGCAGGGGGAGGGGGTGTGCATACTGGATCTGCTGGGACATGGGCAGGGAGCAAACCACACCTTTTCTTTCCTGCCCCTGCCAAGTTTGCTTGCAGGTGTGTGGGCCTGTGTGATCACTGTGCCCTGGGTCACTGCTGCTGGGGGAGGGGGAGAGGGTGCTGTCCTAGTTCCATTTCCTCTTGGGGGTCCAGTCCACCCACCTTTAGATGTATAGATGCATGGATCCCTTAGGCATCCTGTTGTGCTGTGTAAGGAATCCTCTGTTTGTCAGCGGATGTCCAGTTGCTGTAACGTGGAGGGGAGAGACAAAGGGAACAACTCACTCCCCCATGATGCTGACATCACTCTTCAAACTTCCTCTTTCTTAAAGCATTACTTAGAATGAAAATATGGGCATAGATGGGAAGGGATCTTGTAACAAGCTCGAGAGTCCCTCTGTGATTGAATTTTACTTTTCTTGCTCATGGGCCTGTGTAATTTTGCTTTCCCCTCTCTCTCTTACAACAATAGTAATAAAAATAATAGTAACAATATCCTGTGTTTGCATAACTCTTCTAGGTTGATCTTCTTGTTGTAGTTTTTGAAAACTAAAGACAAGATTTTCATGTAAACATAAAATATATGTGTCATAGATTTTATTCAACTCGTTAATTAATGAAGTGCCCAGTATGATGTTAAAACTGATTCACAGTGTATTTGTCGAGCTGGGTATTTATGGACTGTTTAATGAAGAGATTTTAAAATAAGATTGCTGAGTTAGATACAAAACTATTTAAAGTCCTACAGGGTGATAAACTATAATCTTTGGGATTATCTTTTCCATTGGACGGAAACAGTTATCATGCCTTTCTAAGAGAAATTTTTGAGTTAACCTCTGTCCCTGTGGAGCTGTAAAATGCCCATTCGGCAGGAGGCCAATCAGAAATGCAATCCAGCACAGCACCAAAGGACGCCCACTGATGTCTCTTGTCTCTTTCCAAGTTTTAGGTGGTTTTAATGAGGCCTTGAAAGACCTCATTAAAACTTGTTAATTTATACAAGGGTATAGGTTTGATTTTAGGAAACAAATTGGTATAATCTCGTGTAAAACCTAGCCATAGAAAGTGCTTTGTAAGAATATATGTTTTAATACCTGAATGTTTATGTTTCACAAAAATATATTTGGTAATGCCGTAGGGCGCGTGTATCTGAGAAGGCAGTGTTTGCAGAGTTTTTATATTCTTAAACACGTTGGTGTTTTAGGTACTAGATACAGGAGTTTGAATAGTGAACCCAGTTGTGGCTCTCAGAATCCTTCTGCTCTGTCTCATAGTAACTTTCTGTTGTATCTCTAAGAACGACTTCTCCTGATAATCAGTCCTGTGCTCTAGGATAACAGGACTACTCATGCCCAATCCCACAGTCGTAATGATTTTTCCAGTGATCTTTACTTAGGCTGCTTCCTTGGCTGGAATGTCCTCTGCCTCCTTCCTGTCTATTGGAACTTCCAGTACCGTTTGAGGAACCTCTGCAGAGCATTCCCTGAAGCCCTCAGCTCTAAAGGAGATTGCCCGTAACACTTTGAAAGCCCCTCATGTTGCTTATTACACATTGTCTTTGATTTGTTATTTGTGAACCTGTCTCGTCTACCCCACTAGATTATAAATTTCTTAAGATTAAGTGCTGGGGCCTTGCTTTATTCGTTTTTGTATTTCTGGATGACCAGTGCTTATCGTGGGGCCTAGCGTATCCCAGTGCCTCTTCAAGAGTTTCGAATTGAAGGGAATGTGGGAAGATGGTAGAGGGAGAACTTACCATGTGCCTGGCTGCAGTGACTCTAATACCATCCCTATGAAGTAAGTTAATACTTCAGTTAAATAACTTTGGTTCACTGTTTAACAAACAGTTGAATACCTGTTATACATCAAGCTTTGTGCCAGATGCCTTGGCCAAAAAGACAAGGCATAGATTTTAATATAGCCTACTGGAGAGAACAGATACGTAAATAAATAAAGGCAGTGTAGCATGACACTTGCTCAAAGTCACGCAGTCTGGGAGTGATGGGTTTGTGGTTAAAGCCTGTTGAACTCCAAAGCCAGGATGTCCCAGAACAGAAAAACCAGCTGTGCTAAGAGTGACATCTCCTCAAAAGAGCAACGCAACAACCTTGCTCTGCCTATTATTGGAAAACGTTATTAAATCAAACCATTTTGTTTTATTTGCAAACTAGGTCCTTCAGAAGCTTGGGAAAGCCGATGAGACAAAAGATGAACAGTTTGAAGAATATGTCCAGAACTTCAAACGGCAAGAAGTGAGTATGTTTATCTAGTTAAGGGAGTGGGAAATGAGTTGATTGGGTTTGTGTAGTATATGATTAAAATGCTTTAAGGTTGTAAGAACTTCATTGGGGTTAGTGTTTCCTTGAGGGTTAATGCTTGCTAATGCTGTAGACTTTCTTCTGGAGGGCCGAGGAAGAGGCACTAGGCGCTGCGGGAAGAAGATTTGTGTTTTAGCATCTCAGGAGATTAAGACTTTGCTTCTCTGGAGCTCCTTAATACAGATGACTGATCTAAAGGGGAGATGATGTTTTCGGTGATTTATACGCCACTAAGTATTAGAGAAGCAGTGGTTAAACACTTCTGGCAAAATTACTTTAATTGTTGCCTGCTTTAAGATCATGCATCCTCAGCAGGCATTATGTCTCTCCCAAGGGGCAAAAATTGGTTCTTGGTGGGTGAAAAAAATCATGCTCTTTTTATGTGTACATGTCACGAAACAGATATATAGTATATCTATGGTATTAAACTTGTCCAAGGAGGGGTGCGATTAGAAAAAAAATGTCTAAAAAGGCCCTTCAGGGGAGGCAAGAATGAAAAATGGGTGAGAAACACAGTTTGTGATGTTTGTTCCTTTAATGGGCTGCTATGTGCTCAACAGATGCATGTGTAAAGAAATAAACTTTTTGAAATGGGCTGTTTCTATCTCCAAGGCTTTGATAGTTGGCTAGTGTATCACTCTTTAGAGAGCATGCGTGAAGATCAGGGATGGGGGAGAGATACAAGCCAGGCCCTCTGAGATTAGAAGCCTCAAATCTGGAGATCATTCTAGAGGTGGAGTGGGAAGAAGGCTGGGCCAGCAGACTCTGGAAAATGGGATTTGGACATGGGGATAATGTGAGGACATGGATTTGTTTTTCCTACTATCGTTCGAGCCACCAGTGTCCACAGAGGAAATTGTGGCCTCAGGGGTGAGGATGTGTGGCTTCAGGGATGACACCCCAAAATGGGAGATCATCACAGGTTTTGTGTCACCCTCTTTGCTTCTGTTTGCAGATCCCTGATCCTGGAGGTTTCTTTCTTCCATATGTGTAGCAGGGTTCCCATTGTCTTCTCGCTGGTAACATGTTATTTCTTTTCCTCACCAGCAGGGGTTGTAAAATCCAGTAGGTATAGAGCCAGTAGACTAGTCTCCACCAAAACACATTCCTGAATGCTTTCAATTTCATCCCGAGACTAAGCGTGGACATGTGCAGATAGGAACTGCATTTACTGTGAGGGATGGGAATCTCGTTCTATCTGAAAGTGAGAAACAAGAGGGGAGGTGGAGAAGAAAACAGTGATAGAAAAACAGATCATGACCAAATAACTGAGTATTAGAGAGAGCTTTGCATTAACCAAGGTAGAAGAGAGAATTCCTAGAGAAATGTTGGATGTAGGCGCATAGAAGAAGTTGTCCCCCAGGCTCCTCCAGGAGAACAGATTCTCCACGTCTCCTTATGTTCTCATTTGCCAAGTTCTCGCGCATTCTCTCATGCATGTGGATAACACTCATACCGATCATTGTCTTGGATTGCAGCAACTTCCCACCGAAAAACTTGTCAATCAGTGCCCTCTTACTTCACAGGGCAATCCCAAATGTCTGCTTTAAGGGATCGGATTTGGATAAAGAAGTGAGTCATGTTTATAGTTTTCCCTGCTTGAGGGTTTACACTCTACCCTTTGGAACTTAGCCTTCCTGTCTGGTGTGTCCCTATGGAGCTAATTAGTTCTTTGCTCTTGGATTTTTCCTCTATCATTTCTATGGCATTATGATGTTGTTAGCTCCCCAGAAGGTTAACCTGGGGAAACATCAAGTTCAGGAACGCATTCATGACTAGGAGGCGCTCTGCTTTTTTCCATTACATTGAATTTTTATTACGCATTTTGGACTTTGTTGACGGAACCATGGGAGGATTGTGTTTTGTCTAAGGTATTAGGGAAAAGTGCAGTTGGTTAAATCATCAACTTCATCGGTTAAGTGATCTGTGCCAGAAAGAGCATCAGCATGGGGTAACTTTATAATGCTGCCCTGCCATCAATTCCTGTCGCTATACACATTTTCAGATGTTATGGAGCAAATCGTATACTATCGTTCTTGAAGACTAATACCTTAGGTCTCTGAAGAACATTAGCAGATTTTAAGATCTGGGTAAAACTTCAAAATTTGGGGAAATTTGAGCAAGCAGTTCTACTTTATGAGAGTGAGACAAATAAAGCGAAATAAAGAAATAGCATTTCTTAGAGGGTCTCCTGACCCCCTTTGGTATCCTTTGCAAATATTTTTGGATCGGAAACATCTTGTATTTGCACATGCTCATTTTGATATTTTTTGTTTTAATCAGAATGAGTGAATTTATAGTCATTGTACTGCAGTGAGGAGAGAGGGTACCTTACCCCGTCCGTATTTTAGAGGGAGAGAGGGTGGAAAGGAAGGGGTGGGAGGAAGGTAAGGAGAGAGAACTGTTAATTTTCTATAGAAATAAAGTAAAGATTGGGAAGAAAAGCTGAAGGCTGAATCTGTTAATACTCTATAGAGGGAAAAATGTATCTCTTTAACCCCCAATATGTATTGGTGACCAGTTCACGCCTGTTGCCTATGCTGAAAAGGTGTGCTGCTTATGTGGAAGCGTTAGGCTAGGAAGGAGGATATACAAGATTGTGGTAACCTCTACAAGGCCTATTATTTTTCGTGTTAATGTAATGGTGAGTCATTACTCTAAAGGCAGAAGGCATTATCTAAAGGCGGCCTACTCTGAAGACATTATCTGAGCTAGGAAATCTAGATTTCATATTTAAATTTTCTGTGAATATGTATTTTTCAAATCCAAAAAAGTTACTATCTGCAGTATAAAATGAATTATATTTGGATCTGTGCATTATATGATAGTCATCTGGCCACACTCCATTAACACTTAATCAAAAGTAGACCATTCTGGAATGTTCTAGAAATTGTTCAAACATTCTGAGCCCTGATCTTGATTCTAAATTCCCTTTAATAAAATCGTAAGGGTCCTCATAGTTATTGACATAGTCCCTACTTTTTCATGTTGGAAACAAAGGTGGCAGAAGGGTCTATGTTTGAACTCTAGCTTGAGGCTTATCTTTTCTTTGATTGCACTCCCAAATTTTGTTTTTGATCCCAAACCTCTTTTCCTAAAAGGTAGTTTGCATTAGATTAAGAGCATGGATGCAGGGTCTGTTCCTGCTCTCTCAGTTGTCCACTGGACTCCCCATTGCAGTGTCTTTGAGGTCCAGGTTTCATAAACTGCCCAGTTAGGACAGGAGGAAAGGGGAAAGTAGAGTAGAACAAAAGGGACTGGAGGGAGCTCCTCTGCAGAGAGCTCAGGACTTTCATGATGAAGAGCGCTAAGGAAAGCAAGGGTTATAGAAATCCAGCAGGAAGAACAAAATCTGACTTCCACATTTCCTCCCAGGATTTTTTTTTTTCCCCTTCCTATCTGTTTTTCCTCTCTTACCAGAGCTGCTAACAAGTAGCAGAATTGCTGGTGGGAACATCAACTCCTTTCAGTTCACCTGGTTGCCTGTTGACGATCCATTAATGAGCAGAGAAAAGGAAGTGGAACAAAGGTCCTTGGCCTCCCTCCCTCCTTCTTGATAATAAACTTGCCCACTAAGATGGCACGCCTGTGGCAAGTGTGCTAACACAACAACAAAATGACACAGGGGCTGGTTGGGCCCAGATAACCAGCTTTGATCCCATTTCTGTGAGCACAGATGTGAGCACCCCACTGGAGGTGCGACGTGTGAACAGTCCCTCAAATAAAGGAAAAGGAGGTCTCACTTCTCACATCACCACAGCTTCTCATTCCCTCTTTTAAATACCATAGCAGAGTAGTTTTGCGGGTTCTCTCCATGCCCACCACCGAAAACAGTCTAACTCTGGTGTAATACAAAAGAAGAAGAAAAGAAATATCGAGAGCTTGAAATCCTCTCCAGTGGTGAGAATTCGGAACCAGCAATTCCATTTATGAGGATAATGCAATGATGGTTTGAAAGCTGGAACATGTCTTCTTCGTCATCTCTCCTCTGCACAGGGATCCTGTTTGCCTGCTTTCATCTTTTTATCTCCACAGGACTGAGTGCTTTGCACATAAGCTTTAAAATATTTGTTAAACTTGAAGCTGAACCTAGTGGCAGAAATGATTATTTTGAGCACATTCCTAGAGCATGTTTTTATTCCTGGGATGGAAGAGATGTTGAATCTTGTGTGAATTTTTGTAAGCAGTTTCACGACATTTTTTAGGACGTGCTTATATAAATAATTAAAAAGGAAAATTACAGAAGAGAAGTTTCTAAGAAGAATGTAAATACAAAATGTACTCTGACAGTGGGTTAAAGTGTGGATAAAATTTTTATTTATGGGAAATCATATTTACATTCTGAAAACTTTTGCAGGTTGCTTGAGCAAAAGGCCTAGCGAGTACCTTAGAACTATTTTTTTTTTTTTGTGCCACAGATGGCCATCATGTCAGTGTATCCACCTTTCGTATATTAATAGTGACCTTCTGAAATAGCCACTGCTTTGATTAAATGTGAGCTCATTGGGTCTGTTTTGAGTAATTGTCGAGTTCTAAATGGCAGTGTCCTGGCTCAGAGTGTGGAGACCTTCCGTCAGCCACAGAGCCTCCTGTCAGGTCACTAGACCTTCTGGGTTTTGAGTAAGAACCTCAGGTGGCCAGTTTTGTGGGCAGCAGAGCAGTGGTTTTCAAACTTTAGCTGCATCAGAATCACCTGGGAGGCCTCGGTACAGTGCAGGTTGCAGGGCCCCACCCCTAGAATTTCCAATTCAGTGGCTCTGGGATGAGGCCTGAGAATCTGCATTTCTGACAAGTTCTCAGGGGATGCCACTGAAGCTTCTTGTCTAAATTAGCTGTTAGTCTGATGGTTGCTAAATGATGATTTTTTAAAAATTCCTTATACACTTATTAATTAGCATTCTACTCTATGGTCAAACTTTCTCTTCTCCCCTAAT